TCCTATTCCAGTTATATTTTCAAAAAATATGCAACGGTACTGATGCTAGTCCACATACACACACACTACACTATATATACACATATACATATATATATATATATGTTGTTCTCTTAACTCAGTATTTTGTTGCTGTTCTTAAAGGGTCTATGCTAAAGCATGGCTCCCAAATTCTGCTGAAAAAAGCATTACAGAGACATCACGTAATTATTGACAAGTTACAAGTCTCAATAAATAACGTCTATGATAACAAATACTATTATGCAAGCACTAGTTGTGGCTCCACATTATCCACACAGGCACCCAATATGTCTATCTTAATATCAATTAGAAGTGTCTGAGAAGCTGGGGTTTGATTTGGAGCAGATTTTCTGCTCCTTCCAATTTTGAACTTTCATTAGTTCCCAGCATATGTCAGATATGCTGGATAATCGACATTTCCACTGTGTGTGCCACTTATTTTTATTTTCAGCATATTATTTAGTCTTGAAATAACACTCCTGCATAAAAGATTAAACCCTTCTAATCATATACAGAATATTGTATAGGCAAAGATAACGGAAGCTGCTTATGTGCTCAAGCATCTCCTGTATGCTAATATAAATATGGTCAATGGTCACTCCATAGATCAAATGAATTAAAAGTTGGCTTTCAGCCCCGTTTCTCATCTCTTCTCTAGAAGCTGTACCAAGCACATAGCAACTGGATACAAAGATATGGCCCTAGGTTTCTAAACTATGATCTATGATTCAGTGCCCCAACTTATTCATTCTTTGGACCTTTTAAGTATTATGGCCCCTAGACATGTGCAGGTAAAGGTGTGACAGGATCTAATGAATGAACCACATAATCACACCTCCTGCCATGCCACACATGTATGTCAGGAGGCGTGACTGTGCATTTGATCTCATCATGCCAGTGTAGTGGGGGCCCAATCCTAGGCTCACCCTGCACTAGCAAAAAGCAAGCTTCTGCAGCCGGGAGCCCCTTCAGCTGAAGGGGCTCTCACCCACAAGGGCACTCTAGGTTGTGTGCACCTGGGAATCAAACCAATCTCTCAGCCTCGGGGTGCATACTGTGTTCCCTGCAGTTGGGAGATGGTAGCAGCTGTGATCTCCCAGCTGCCGGTGGCTCCATGCTTCCTGCAATTGGTAGATCACAGCTGCTGTGATCTCCCAGCTGCAGGGATGCATGGAGCACCCCCACAGGTGGGACATCACAGCTGCTCAAGTCTGAGCACACCTGATGGCTGCTGTTGTCCAGAGTCCTACAGCTGTCAGGCATTATGGAAGCTGAAAGTCCCCTCAGCTGCAGGACACCCAGCCCCTGCTGGGCATAGTGCAGATTAAAGTTGGATGGCTACCAGCTACATAATTAGTACACATTTTTGAGGTCTAACTTATAGCTGGTTGGACCTTTGGCATGTAGCTGGTCTCCCTTTAATTGTGCAAATTAACCAGTTAATTGCACAATGACTGTTCCATGTAAAGGGGGCTTAGACAACAGGTTCCAAGAGTGATATCTTCTGGGACCTAAACAGACATCAGCACTAATTTCATTTAAGAGTCCAGCTGATGGTTCAATGTCAGTTGAGATATTCAGATGTACAAGATAATGCAACTTAGCCCTAAGGATATTTAAATTGCCTCATACCTTTTGCTTGCTTAATCTTTATGTAGAAATATAATTGGTTTCATAAAACTGTTTAAAATTTCTTCTTTGTGTTTGATATCTGAGATTAAATTTAAAATGTGAAAACTGGTAACAAATTCCTTTTTCAGTTTCCCCAAAATAGACCATGTATTTGTTTAGCTAATGTCACCGTTAATCTATCCATATCTATATGATGACAGGATCAATACATAAAAAAGATATATATTTATCTCTACGAATCTTTACATAAACAATTGATCAAATAATTAACTGATCAGTTTTCATTATTATTAGAGAAATAGATAACAATTAGATTATTCATTTATCAATTAATATTAATGTTATATAGAGAGAAATCTACTACCAGCCTGTGGCGTTTGCACTCAAGTTTGGGAAACTGATTTATTTTTTTCTTTAGAGAGAGATAAAAATGAAAAGAAAAATATCAGTATTAAATTCAGCTGCTGTATTCTAGAATGAAACTCAGCCTTACAATTCATCTGTGCCTACAGTGCTTATGAGTTACAGCTGTCTATCTGTCTTCAGGCATAATTTGACATTTCACAAAAATCACTGTAAAGCCTCCATGGATTTTATACTAGTATTCTCAAGTTCAATAATTTACTTCACAGAGGCAAACTAGCAGTTCATCTTTCTTTCACTTACCGCACAAGTGTTAACAAATCTAAAGCAGTAAACATATGCACATATGGGTGGACTGAGTCAACATTAGCTTAAAACTAAACTAATTTATACTTTCCCTAAGGGATCAAATAGAAGACAGAATGTTCTCCCTCCCTGTTTGTGGGTTACACAGCATGACCAGTATAAATAGATCAAGGGTGTGGAGATAAGCATTTACCTGTAAGGGAAAGGATAATATAGTATCATAGGGAAGTGTAAGTAGGTTTGATTGGTGCATCTTGAGTGTCTTCAAATAGGACATGAGAAACTCCCACTGACCTTAATGGGAGTTACATTTGCTGTATGGACAGAAATCAGATCCTCTAGATGCCACAATCTTACTAACTGGGTTTGGGTCAGGATCATGCATTTCACTAGATAGAATAAACTTACTATCTGGATATTGCAATAAAGTTATAATACAATCTCAAAGCCGCTGTAAGCATAGGTCATTTATTTGTCTTAACATGTCAATTGTTTCTCTGTAAATCATTAAAACTTGAGCCACATGTGCTTGGGACTTCTTTCTGAAGCTCTTTAATTAATTATAGCTATGGAAGTATGTCTATTGTTTTTCTTTTAATAATAATAGAAAAAACCCAAACCCTCCATACTTCTGCAATTTAAAGCTTTTCATCCTTTAAGATAAAATCAGTGAGACCTTTTCACTGCATCAGTGGGCACCAGATGATTTCTCTAACATGGCTTCCAGTGGTTAATTGTCTGTTTCCGTCTAAACCAACTACAGCAAACAAACATGTTTATAAAATCTCTTTTAACTAATACCAATTGTCAGCATGTCTTTTTCCCTGCCTAATCTGGTTATAGTTGTGTTAGTCAAGGCTTTAGAAGTGTATGCCACTGGGTGATCATTTTACAGGATAGCTGCCAAACCAACTGAACTCGCATCAGCTGAAACCTTCAGCTCTTTGTTAATCACAAAATATTTCAGTACAAATGCTGGTGTTTCCGCGTTTTAATATAAGAAGTTTCTCATAGAATTCCTTGCCAATTTTCCCAATGCAGTTCTTTAGCAGGTTCAAGCACCATTACAATTAATGAGTTTGATAAATACGTTAAAATGCCTCTGAGTCTTTTTAAAATCACAAGGCCAGAGGCACAAAGAGATCCATGTTGCAAGGTTACATCTATGTGACATAATTAAGGTGCCTGGCACCCCTTAACATACCAAATTATTCTCATGGGATTCCTCCTAAAATGGTAGCAGTGCAGTCATTTCTGTCCAGCACTTCAAGTGGGCTATCAAACTGAGAGATGGTATGAGTTGGCCCACCCCACATGTATTAGGTCACGTGTGGTACCAAACAGATGTGGTCATAGTACTCCCTGTTTAGCAGACGGCATTGTATATGTGAGAGAGCCACTACTAAGCCAAGTGAGTTGCCAGGTAGACATAGCCTTAGGCTCCTACAAATGAATCAGGATCCTAAGCTTCCTTATTCAATAAATGGGAGAGTTAATTGCCTAGGAAGGGGATTTATATCAACCAGCACTACTGTCTTCTAGCCAATCGGAAATAGTAAAGGGAAAGGTACATTTGTACCCTGTCTTTCTCCTAGACATAGGTGCTAATCTGCAGCTTCAGTTAGATGCCTATGTGAGGCTGGGATTCAGAGCCCAGATCCATCCTGGATTCAGATGTCTAAGTTTTCCCTTTGGATAAGAATTCTTTTAGAAATCAGAGGTAGGAAGATGGGACCAGTGCCCACTTTTTATACACCTATTAGAGCACTTGCCTAAATGGGTTTAAACATATGAGGTGGACACCAAAATGCTCCTTCATCCAAGACAGCATCATTTTTAGGCATCAGAGTTGCAGAACTTTAAGCATATAATTTACTACTCTGGCAAAAACACAGGCACCTGACAATTCATAGGCACCCAAACGGAGCAGCATAAGAATGCAGCCGGGAGGCCAGAATAGCTGCTGCACACAGGGGAAGTTGCGACTTCTGCTAAAATTGCACTTCAGACATGCCAGCCTTTTTGTGGATTTAGCACTTGGTGTTTGGGGTACTTCTACAACTGCATCCATCTTTCCTAAGTTCTGTCAAATTCCTGTAGCAGTATGTTTTCTAGACAACTAATTTCTTCCAGCCTATTCTGAAATATGTCCAGTTTCCTGTGGTGTACAGCAAAGTATTATACAACAACTGTACTGCAGTCCATTATCACTCCAAATCAGGAGCTGAAGTTGAGCAAATTCACCTTGAAATAAGAAACACTTTCCTAGCTGTGAGGCTAATTAAACATATTGGAACGGTTTACCATGGCTTGTGGTGGATTCAGAATTGCTTGGAGTCTTTAAAATGAGATTAGAGATCCTACTGAAAGATATGCTTTAATCCATCTTCTAGAAGAAATTATATTGCCTGAGTGTGCAGGGTTGTGATAGCCCCTTCTGTCACAAAATCTATTAATTGTCCTCTTCATTTCTTTCCTTCATTGGCTTTGGGGAGAACATGATTGCCTAGATTTTCACCTATGCACTCAACACTGTGCAGTTTTTCTCTATGACAATGATAATAATTAACTCCTCTGTTTCAGGGTTTCATTCACTCGCATGTAAAAGTAAGGAAGGACTTTCTTGCCAATGTACAACTGATTAAATTGTCTTTGTTTCTTTGTTTCTCCTTCCTCAGACACATTAGAGTTGTCCCCAGATGAAGACTGGATCCTGGACCGGATGGACAAATCCCTGCTGTGGTACAAAGAATCCTCTTTCTGAGTTATCTGGCTTATTTATCTTGCCCACACTCTGAAAGTTGTAGCTGTTTACCAGAACTGGGATCAGAAACAATTTTTCCCTCTGATCAAATTAGCAGGGACTTCTGGGGCTTTTCACCTTGCTCAGCAGCATGAGGTTTCCAGTTCATCTGCTGGGATCTTTTTGGGCTTTTCAATTTATTTCATTGCCTAGTTGCTGTAGGAGCCTCAGGCAATGATGGACAAGTTTCCATTTGGTATTCCTGCAAGTTTGCGCTTGCTACTTAAGTCTCTTTCCCTGTTACCAAAATTTAGTTGGTTAAAAAATGAAAAGCTTTGGACTAACAAAAATCACTGGGACCAATAGGTTATCCGAGTTAAATGTAATGGCCTGCAATGTACAGGAAATCATATTAGATGATCAGGATGATCACATTAGATAACAGACCCTCCTCGTCTTCAGCTCTATGAAATCTTCCACTTTGACTATGACTTCCATATCCTTCCAAACATATAACATGGCTCTTTATTAAAACACCATATGCTAAGACAATTTTAATGTTAAATCGCTTAGCACATATCTACCAGAAAGGAAGCAGAAGGGGTTGACTTCTCTTTCATGTAAGACCAGCCAAAAAACTTTGGCTTCCAACCAGTACCACTAAACACCAGGGACTTCGAGAGGACTGCAACTTATGCCTTTATGATCAACAGGATTTTTGTCATTGATTTCAATCAGAGCAACATCAACCCATAACTTCTTTCTCACGTTTAATTCCAATAGGAAAGAGGCAGCTGGCTTCAGTTTGTCCCCAGAAAAACAAAACAAAACAAAACAAAACAAAACAAAAAACAAAACAAGGAGTGCACATGTCCTCAGAGGGAACTTATCTTTAGACCCTTCCCTTGGTCAGGTGACTTGGGCTAAAAAATCTCTCTTTGCCATATGGCAAAATGCCCAATAGTCACTGATTGCAGTGACTACTACAACTTTGCTCTTGTTGCCCAATTGTTTCTAACACGTAAGACCCAAGTGTATCTTTATATGTGTGGTTCAGTGAACTGGGCAATTTAGGACTTTTGAGTGATAGGGGTCTAATCAACAGCCCTGCCATAAACACACTGTGATTCTTTGGTCAAGTTACTAATAATTGTCTGAATGAATACAATGATGCTTTTAAAATACGTTGTTATATATAAATAAAGCGATTGACACATGTTTTATCACATCCCCTCTCACTCAACTGCGTGAGAGAACTGGGGAGAAAATATTCAATATAGAATGAAGAAGTTTAGCATCCTTCAGTTTCACTGCAACATCAATCCCTCAACAGCATATCAGAATTTCTATCACAGATAGGTAGGACACTTATTGGAAAGCATGATTTGGCACACATTAATTTGGTATGCAGCAAGTATTGTGATTAATTTTTGTTTGTATGTATCACTTTGTGTTGTATAAATACATCTGTGGCCTTTTACATTCCAACAATACTGTGATTTAATCACTAGCTTGATTTAAATTGGGGGCACTGGAGGGTGTCAGAGCAATGGGCATTGCAGCAAGAAAGCCAGAACATTTTCAGAAATTCAATAGCATTAAATACCCATTGTTGTTGTTGTTTTTTTTTCTTCTTTGCCTGTTATTTGTAGGTTTGTAAAATTATAATGTATGGTAATGAACGATGCTGTGATAAGCATACTAATATTTGCTACCAGTGCTTGATAACTGTAGTATTATGTGTTGT